TGTGATAACGTCATAAGGTGTGTTTGCTGGCATTCTCTGAGTTCACATTCAGCTAGTATATCACAAACGCTGAGGATGTTTTGAACAAAATGAGGAGACTTTTCTTGACGCTCGTGAACAGCCTAGACTAGGGACTGTGCCAGTATTTTCTGATCTGACTTTGCAGCCATTGTCTCCCAGTATCAAATGCGAGGTTGTAATTTATTCTGTTTGTGAATGTTCTTTCTTCTCATTTTGTTTTTGTAAAAAAGGCCCATGTAGATGTCACACAAGTAGCTTTACTAATGCTATTGCCGCTAATTTTCTCCGGATAGCCCCTCTGTCACAACGTAATGAAAAAGTTCTGCTCTAAGGCTTTCTTTTAAAGCTTAGGAACAGATTTTATGATAGATCATATCTCAGAGAGTTAGCTGTCAAATATTAAATAAGTATTCTAATCAGAAAGGATTTTTAAAAAAAATATATATAAAGCCATCTATAGTCTGATTTGTTCCCTTTTGACTATCGCATCCAAAAATGGTTTTCATTACACTCACAGTGGGCATCAAATTGGATGCTATTATTGGGAGAATTAACTGACCTGAGAAAATCTTCCAGCGCCGTCTCACTACTCCTCCATCCCAAAACCAAGCCCTCTCTATACATCTATACCCAATTATTATTGGTTTTTGAAAGGGCTATTAAAGCATGCTGCCGTGGCATCACTATGGGGTCTGGACCAGGTGACACCTTAAGGGATGTTATATAAAACATCTGCATTTGGGCAGACATGAGATTTGGCATCTGCCTGTTTCCATTTAAAATGCCTTAAGAGGTGGTGTCAGTGGGGGTGAAGCTCATTGAGAGTAGAAAGGAAAGGCCCCAGGATTTGGTTTTTATTTTTATTTTTCAAATTTCCATATAATTTATATACATAAAAAAGGTTTTAGCGATAATCTTCTCCAAAATTGGTGGTCTGACAATTAAGTAACCGCCAACATACCTCTCTTTTGACTTCCTCTGTCCCTCCATGACAGCTCCCAAGCCCAACGTTCTCTTTTGGACCCTTTACATAAACTGAACCAGTTCCAACATAGTTCCCTGAAACCATTATCTTTTAAGGGAAAAAAAATGCTTACTTTATATATCACAATTTCCTACATTCTTTCACTCTGCTTCCTGCTCAATTTCCATCTTTCCTTACAA